CCCCCGGGGGGGGGGGGTGGATCAAGCATTAGAATTGCCAAAAAAAAAAGAAAACAATGTATCTATCTCTATCCAAGTAAACAAGCAAAATCACATATGAACACAGAAAACCCCAAAGCTCAAACTCTATCAAGAAACCAATAAAATAAAACAATCTTTTGAAATCCAAATAAACTCATCCCACCAGTAAAATCAAGAAACCTGAAAAAGGGATCGTCCCAAAAAAGGAAAAAATGGATTCTTTCATACATATATACATATATGCACACACGCACACACACACACATATATATATATATACACACACATATATATATCAAGAACGAACCTAGATATAGAAAGAAATCAATAAAAAACAATCTTTTGAAATCCAAATAAACTCATCCCACAAATAAAATCAAAAAACCTGAAAAGGGGTCATACCAAAACTTAAAAAAATGGATTCTTTATATATATATATCAAGAATGAAACTAGATTTAACAAAATTTCAATCCAAAATGAAAGGGGTCACTCACTTAAGGCTTTGAAAAGGAAAAATCAAGAAAGGGTAAACTCCATTGAGCACAAGCTATGAGTAGTCTTTTGTTTCTGGTGCCAAACATTGAAATTTGGATTCCTTATATAGAGTCATTGTCTTGATTGTAATTACGGTTAGGTACATTGTATTTAATCTCTAATTCATCTATTGAGTAAATGAAATTTAAAACTCTTTTCCATTTTAAAGGGGTTTGTTAAAGTATTTATTGTATAATATAGAATAATCCTTTAAAGAAAAATAATAACACAAAGGATACATGTAGCCAATGTGAAAATCCTCAAATATTTGGCATGTAAGTTGGATGTAAGTCAAAGAAATAAAATGTATATCCAATTCATAGAATCTATTGACTCTTTCTTGGATATTTCAAATCAAAGTAATTATAGTAAGATGATATTGACAAAATTAACATAGTTTTTCAATGTTGTTGTAGCACATTAGTTTTTAAATTGATTGTACAAATATCTCATATTTATTTATTTTGATTTTTACATAATTTTACAGAAAATATGTTAAATAATTAAAATAAATGATATAATTAGTACTTCCTTCATTTCAAAATAAGCAAAGGTTATCATTAGAACGGGTGAACAAAGTTGATATTTACAATCAAAGGTCATCATTACCTTGATAATCGATGATGCAATCATTCTCAACACGATCTCGCCATGTGTCCCAAACGTTAAATCGAAAAGACATTTGCCATTGTAGATTTACTTTTGAAAACTGTATGGAAAATTTTCCCGCCTAAAAATTTCCACTTTCGAACAACTTTTGAAAACTATACGGAAAATGAGAAAACTATTTGTATCGGTAATAAATATATCAGAAAGAAAAGTAACTAAAGGGAGTTAGTATTTATAAATAAAGGGTTGTTGTTACCTAAAGAAACAATCATGACATCAACCTCAACACTAGACATGATTTTCCGTTTTAGATTACTCTGAACACGAACCCCACATGTCCGAGACATAAGTTGAAAAGCAATTGTCGTTTTAGATCTCGCCAAGACTCTATGTCTTTAAGAGTAATGGTAAGTTTACCACCAGCAGTGCCTATAAGCTTATCCACTCAAAAACCACATACTCCCTACCAAATCAAGGGATTAAGAATTTTGATTGGATCTGGAACATGACTTGTCCCAACAAAATCAAAACCTTCATCTAGCTCATGTACCACCAGAAAATCCCTTGCTCCCACTACCTTAATAGAATTGGCTTGGATATCCACCCTGGTTGTCAAATATGAGGCCACCACAGTGGGGACGTACACCACATCTTCTTCAGATGTACCAAAGCTATTGAATTTTGGGATACCATCATGGTGAACAATATACCTCAATGCATAAGCTTGATAGAACCATGCTCTCCCTGGGAATTGGCATAAAACCTGGAACTGTGTTTCCACCAAAGAGTACAACAACCTCATTCTTTGGGATGTTGTCCTCCTTCAATTCTTCTGGGCCATTTGGCTCCAAAGAAATAACAACCTTTTCAATTTAATAAAAAAAAGACAGCATCTCCTTCACCAACATGATCAACCTAGACACTGATTTCCAAATCATCATTTAGGAGAACCACAAGGCTAATAAAGACAAGTGCTTTATCTAGGTTAAATGGGAACCTCCCTTAACATGTAGGTTAGAAATTCGAATAACTCAACACTTATGGAAATGTGAAAACTAATCCTCGACAAGGAGGCTTATGAGGGATTATCATAAACCACATAGGCTACTGGACAATTGAATTCATCAGTAAAGAGGCACATGTCAATCATACACTGGCCGAGCTAAGAGCCCTAAGATAAGGACTTCTAATGGTCGTGGAATATAAACTTCATCCCCTGTATATCAACATTGACTCCTCGAAAACAATCAATTTACTGAATCATGATAATCACTCTTAAACTAATTTAATCTCTGAATGCAGGTCATTGATGGAGGAGTTGGGAGCAGCGATGCCAACACACATCTTCAGGGAGCAGAACAAGGTGGCGGACATGCTTAGCAAAGAAGGCCTCAAATGCAAAACTTTTGAAAAACCAACCCTTTTTTTTTATAGTTCCTCCATTATTTGCAAATGAAGTAGGATGGGTAGACATTTCAGAAACTATGTACTCAAGGAAACCTAATCTTTGTAACAATTATGTAAATGGCCTTCCAATGGCCCAAAATCCAATTCTTCTGCTTTAAGCAGTATGTATTAGCACTAGCTAATTATAATATAACTTGTCAACTTCTAGAGCTTTTAACCCAAAATGTGTCCACAATTTTCCATAGCGCAGTCATGATGATTTCTAAGTATGGATTTAGTGAGGAAATTGATGAAAGGGTTTTCATCAGCTCGATAATCGATGATGACATCATATTCAATACAATCTCACCACGTGTACCACATATGACGTTGAAAAGACATTCGCCGTTTCATTCAACAGTAACTATGAAACTTATACCTCTTTTCCCGCTAAAAAGTTTCACTTAAAAGTGACAAAGTTATTTGTATTCTAATAAGAGCGAACAATGAAGTTAATATTTTAAAGAAAAGATTCATCCTAGTTCATTAATTGATAATAAATGTTTCAAATGCAGACTCTTTGACCTTACACAAATCAATGTCAAAATTTCTTTTGTATAGATTAAATAAGCCGTATGATATTCAAAAATGGTGTAAAAATTATGGTAAAGAATCAACATCTAAAAGTCAAAACATATATAAGAAAAGTAAAGTCATTTTGTTTTGAAACAAATGTAAAGTAAAAAAATAAAAAGAATGTACCGAAATTTACCAGTAATAATCATCATATTATACTAAAAGTGGAAAGAATTTTAGGTAAAAGTTAGATTATGGTTTTACCCCTACATTAAATATAAATGTTATAAATTATTTAATAAATTAAATATTAAATTATAAATCATCATATTAGTACATGAATCAACCGTCATAAAGTCTCTTGAATATGTATTCTTTGTATTTATATATGTATACTAGTTTCACGGCACGTGCGTTGCACGTGTGTATCGTATATATAGTATACGATGTTGTCAAATAAAATTAATATTACTAAATTAATATTTTTAGTAAATAATTATATTTGAAAGAACATATGACAAATGCTTTGAAATGATTAATACATATTGTCATAGACTTAGCTGTATTTTGAGATCAAAATAACCAAATATCATTGAAACATTTCTAAATACAATCATTCAAAGTTTAAATATGGTGAGAAAGTGACATTTCTTTAGTAGTATTAATTTTACTTCACCCAATTTTGTAAGCAAATCTAAGCGATAATTTTTTTAGAAAAATATCCATACAAAAAATGTCACCAATAGTCTTTCCTCTTGAGGTTATGAACATAAATGATGGACACTATTTAAGTTCAATTTTTCTCTTAAATATTCATACTTGAAATTTAGTATGTGCAAGACACTAATAAGTATTACCATAAACATTTCAATATTTTGTCTTTATACGTAATCTATCTTTTACACAATCTAAGTACTCAGTTAATATTTGAGTATGACTATCATAGAGAGGCAATTTTACAAAAATAAAGGGTACTTTGTTGTTATAACGAATGATGGTCAATATATTAGTAGCATAACTTAATGTCAATATATGAACAACATCACATAGGGTAAAAAAAAAATTCATTTATTTAAGTTTCTACCTTAACTTTATAGAATTGTAGTCTTCTCCCTTTTTTTGCCGCATACATATTATATAGTTGTTGTCTAATGAAAGTATCTAATATCTTATAAAAGTTGTATCGTGATATAAAATATTAAAAAATTTCAATAATAAAAAGTAATTGATGAATAAAATTTAAAGTATTATTTATAGAATCTTTAATTTGATTTAAGATTATTTTATGATCAATCATTATTTTCTTATCTACTTTTTTATAGCTAGCAAGGAGTGTATCTTGTGACATAACATTTTCTCAAATTAAATGAACAGAAAATAAAAGGAAATTCATACTTAAATAATTTAATATTCATCAAAATTAATATAAAATAGAAAAAAATAAATGGAGCAATACATAGCCAATGAATAAGGAAGACAAAAATATATGTTCATGTTATACTCACTATAGTGTTCCATTTGATTGAAATATCTTGCGACCAACACTTTACTTTCTCCGTTCATTTTTTCGTACATATCTATTAAAAAATAATTATTATCATGACTATTATAATATTATAAGTAAAAGTGAAAAACTATTTTTGAAATAGTGGATTATACATCAAAACTAATAATTCAATGGATAACGTTGATGCCTGTTACTTTAGCAAAATTAGAAAGAAACACGTTCGTTTGAGGGTAAAAGAATAAAAAATGAAAAAACAAATAAGAAATATCTTACCCGAATCATGTGACTTTTTTCATATTTGTTTATTATTATAGTTTTTCCCACAACTTTTTGTCATTGTTAACTCATGAAAATCAAAAGAAAAAATACGAGTGTGAATTGATGAATGATTTGCTCCAATTTCTTCACCAACTCTTTCTTATGTGGTACCTTGAATTTCGTTGAATTTTGAACTTAATTAACTGTTGCAAATAACCCTTGAGATTTTTTTAAGAAGAAGAAGAGTAGAAAACATTAAAAAAAACGTAGTATAAAAGTGAGAGGAAACCTCTCTATTTATAGCTAACAAATAGTAGTATCGATAGTTGCTAATTGTGCCTTATCAGAAAAGTTACAACCTTTCGAAAAAGTCATTGCTCATCAGAAAAGTCACAACCCTTTGGAAAAGTCATGACTTATCGGAAAAGGCACAACCCTTTAGAAAAGTCACAACCCTTTGAAAAATCACAACCCTTCGGAAAAGTCACAACTCATCAAAAATGTCACAACTCGTCAAAAAAGTCACAACTCTTTGAAAAAATCACAACCCTTTAATGTGAAAAGGTATCTACTTTTAATATAATTAAATTAATAAATATAATAAATTGAGTATTTTTAATTTGGGGTATTATAGTAATTCAACATTAAAGTTTGAGAGTTCATGCTTTTAAGGTAGTTTAGATATAGATAGATAGATATAGATATATAAATATTTGTATTAATAATGTGAAGTATGTTACATAAATTTATTACCACGAACTCCCCATTATGTTAATATATGTAAGTCCCACTAATTATATTTATCATGATTTTTAATACACCTCTCATACTCATCCATGATCTCAAAGGGATTAATGCATATTCATGACAACTCTCTGTGTTCCTCAATTCTATACTATAAATAGTGACATTTGACACAATATTATACATGTTGAGTTTTAAAAGGTGTGAATGGAAAATGAAGAGTTGTGACTTTTATGAAGAGTTGTCATTTTTATGAAAAGTTGCGACTTTTATGAAGAGTTGGGACTTTTATGAAAAGTTGCGACTTTTATGAAAAGTTGTGACTTTTATGAAAGGTTTTGCCCTTTCCGGTAAGGCACAATAAGAACATTTTCACATTACCCTTTATTTTCCATAAATTGAGAGATTTCCTCTCATTTTAGTTGAAAATGAATTTTCTGGACTTCTTCTACAACTACTAAATCTAGTATTCTAAGTGTACTGTACTATCGTTGAGTGGTTCATTAACACCGTGGTTTTAGGTACAGATACACCGGTGAGTAAGATCGTTCTATCCTGAGAGGATATATTCCATTAACCTTGGGTACTTGAGGGGAATAATTTCCTTAAGGAGACACTGTGCATACAGTGGGCTCGATTTTCTTTCTTTGAGAAAAATATTTTGTATATTTTTTTCTAATATGTTTTTATTCTATTTTCTCTACTAGTTTTAATTTTCTAGTTTTGAAATACTCTTTAAACTTTGTTGTTTCTTAGCAAGTTCTTCAAAGTTTTGTTCTAAGTATCTTAGGAATACAAGATGAACAACAATCTTAAGGAAATGATTATACTGTTGGTATTTCTTATATTCTACTGATTGAGAGAAACACATCATGGAAGTAGAAGATTAATGCATTCTCCAGAATTCGGTGCTTTGTTTAGCAAGGTTGAAGTGAGAATGTACTAGAAGAATTGGTGGTATTTATGTTAGAGATTACACTAGGTAACCTTCTTATTATTTATCTAAGGAGGAAAATAGTTTCTAAAAGTTAACAGTTTTGATATTTATCATGTATATCTTTGGAAAAGATCTGCAAGCCATATGATTTTTGAATGAATTTTCCTTGACAAAAAGTGTTGCCTTCAAAATTCTTTAGTTTGCAGAATGAGAGATGCACATTTTTGTTTGATAAAATAGTATGTCAAAATGTTATAGTTGGAAGGCTATTTGAAAAGAAAAGCATATCTATGTGATAATCTAAGAATATGTTTAATTCTGTTTGGAGACTAAAGAAAACTTTTGTAGTTTTGTACTTTATGTGAAATTTGATTGTCTAATTTTGTAAACTAAAAACTTTTGTAGTTTTCTACCCTAGATAAAATAGACTATACAATTGATTTGAAGAATATGGAAACTTCACATAATAAGTCAATGTTGTACTTTTGATTTTCTATAAACTTTACTATTATATAGAAACAAATTGTACAATTTTTTTGTCTTTACTGTTAGTATTCTAAATACTAAGTGGTATGTCTATTTGTGATAGAAGAAAAATACCAGTGACTTAGAGTTTGTGATTTTGTGCCTCTATGGAATGAACTTTGACATTGTGTAAAAATTGTCAAATGGAATTGAAGCACTATAATTCTTTTGTAGAATAATATTTTCAAAAGAGGTTTCATGTTGCCAATAACACTTTGATAGCATGAGAAAAAAATATGTGAAAAAATTATTTTCAAATATTTGAAAAATATTTTTGAGATCATATTTAAAATGTGGGGGGTTCTTTGCTTATGACAAAGATAAAATTATTAGACTTAGTGTCTAATTTAAATTTGGAGCACAAGATATGAAATTCGATGATACTTTTGTATTATGGTAGACACATAAAATTCTTGGAGTATATTTGATATTGTGGTCGTTGAGTTTCTCTTTTACTAGTATATGGTATGACTAGTTTGAAACTACCAAATTATATGTATAGTTGTTCAAAATAATTGAGTTCTTTTATGAAGAAGTGTCA